CAATTGGACTTCAGGAAAGGAATATATTTGTTATAACCCGCATGAATATTTTCCCTCTGTCAGCAGCTCCTTAAAACACCACTCAAGGGAGCAGGCAAGTGAACCGGCTGCTTGTAGCTACAGACCAGGGGAAGAGGAGCTTTTGCTCTCATACTGGCCTACCTGCTTTCTGTACAGAAAATGAGCTTTTGCCCTCTGACAGTCCAGCTGTGTATACAGCAGTTTTTGCTTTCTATAGTGTCAGCGAGAGGTACAGTTGAGCAGGAGAATGGTGCTCTGAGCGGCTTCTCCATAGGCTGCTCCTTGCCAACCTGGATTATGCTTTAATATTTTAATTTTTCCCATTACTTTGCAAGCCTGCAGGAAATCCACCATTTCCATTATTTCTGCAAGCTTCACTTGCACTTACTGTGTGAAGCCTTTGAATCCACAGGATCAAATCAAAGCTACTCCTTTTCACCATCCAAATTACAAACACACTGACTGTGATGCTTTATTTTAAAATTGCCTGTTAAAATTTAAAAGGATTTCCAAATATTTTTAATAATTCTCTAAAACAGTCTAAGGACATCTGTTAAAGTATTAAATTTCCTTAAAGACAGTACTGGTTGGGGTTGCTTCAGCTGCAAATTAAGGTTGTCAGTCAAAGTGCTTTTTCTGGTTTGGTCTCTAATCTAGGAGTTTTTAGCATCTCTTCCAAAGTGAGCCAAAGACAGACAGCTAGTGAGCCATTAGGGCTTGTTTTGCCATGTGTTTAGCCTAGCAAACAATCAGTCAATACCTTTTGTGACATCTTCTGTGTTTTGCTGGATACCTCACTGCTTAGTGAAGAAACAAGCTACACTGTTTTGACATGGTTTTGCATTCTTTATTCTGCAGCATGTGTCCAATGTTTTAGCACATTGAGTAGCTGTGGCAACTTCTTCTGTGTGTCTACAGACATTTGCATTATTGTTAAGTAAGTCATTGGATCAGCTAATGAGAGGCTGGGGTAAGAGGCAGAATGATGTATTTACTATGTAGGATTTTCTGCAGAGATGAATAGTAGATTTGTGGTGGGCTGGAAGTAGATAACCAGCCCAAAGAGTACTTAAAAGGTCCCAGCCTCACCTGCCCCCAGAAATGGAGCTGCAGCCCAGCACAGGGTGGGATCCTCCATCGGTGTCCTGCAAGGAAAGTGCTTGAAATAAATCAGAAGCAAACAGGAAAACTTGCAGAGGCGGGGGGGAAATGCAGCTTACTCCCAGGGCTGTCTTTACCTCGGTTTCTCAAAGGAACGACTGGGAAGAAACAATAACATAATGCCGGAAAGGAGGTGGCCACTGATTTAATTTGCAAAGTTGCATAGGAAGTTAAATCAAAGGCTGTAGTTCAGTGCACTGCGATGGGATGGCTAAGATGGACATGAGCTGGGACTCTGCTAACACTGCACTGTTACTAGAGAGTTGTTGTAAAGAGGTTGAAGCCGTAACAGCCGAGTCTGGGCATAAAGAGCAAGTCAGGGGCAGCGTGTGGGCTGGGAGCAGCGTCTGCTCTCGCAAGGAGAGCTGCAGGGAAACCTTGTTGTCGTGTTTGTGATCAGCGGAAGAAGAACAAATGACAAAGAAGAAGATTTCTCAGTACATCAGATAGCGTGCAGGCAGTGAAATATGCTGGGTTATTGTGTGATCGTCGATACCAGATGTATTTTATCTCAAATGTGCTTTTCTGAAGAATTGGGTGGAACCTTTTGGAGAGAAACAGGTAGACAAAGAGAAAAAGATTATTTTCCCTACTTTTCTGAACTCCAAAGACCACTTAATCCAGTTTTTCATTCACTTCCACTTTCTTTGCATCAGTCCCAAGAATAGAATATATTTATTTCTTTAACATTATTTATCTGGAAAGACTCAGAACTGGATTGTTGCATATTATACTTCAGAAATGTGATGCGTCTCGTAATTGCAGTGTTATAATTAGTCAGACGTGGTTATTTATTGCATGCTGATATTCTAACTCTAGGTCTATCAAGTGTTATGACAGTTTATGAGAATATTACTTCACTGCATAATTATTTTTATTGTGGTGCTGATGCCATCTTGATCTAGATTTCCACTTTCTCATGTGCATCAGAATACTTAATTTTGTGTCGTGTTAACATGAAAGGGTAAGACAAGTGAAGGGTTTTGTCTTTTCAGTTACAATTTCAAACTGTTTAGAGAATGTTTAATGCTTTAATTATTATATTTTTCTGTGATGGAAGGAAGCTGGCATCACCACCACGCATGCAACAGAGGAAACATTTTTAAATGTTCAGTGTGTGAAGGATGTCGGTGTTGTTACCTTTGTAAACAGAAGATGATGGACAGAAAATCTGCAGACTTTTCAGTAAAAGGGAGTAATTTTTTCAGCTCTTTTTCATTTCTTAATGGAAGAAGAATTATGGAAATGAGAGAGGGCATTGCATTAAGTGCTTGAAATGTTCCTTCCCTGCAGACCAATAAAAACATAACTCTTCCATTAGGGAAATTTAGTTTTTTGAAGGCTGCATGAATCTGAGCTCTGAATCAGTGAATGAGATGACTATGCTGGGGTAAGCGTTTCAAGGTCTGATTGTGTATTTTAAGTCTTTCGTAGGTGGATACCAGCTCTTAGCTCATCTTGTAAGATTTCTTCCGAGCAACTTTTCCTGTGACTCTTTTTATATTAACCACTTGGCTTATCTTGTAGTACTTCTGTAGTGCAATCTCCCGTTATGCAGATCAGTAACAGAGTTTCAAAGCCACGAGGATTGAATGATGTTTTCCTACCTGAGTTTGGACTGGAAGGTTTCCTGGCCTTTTCAAAACGCTCTTAACTTCTTGCATAACTCCATAAACAAAAGTCAAATAGTGCAAGCCAAAAATGTGACCTTTTTCTGCTTCATATGGCATGTTTATAGTGGTTATAGTCTCAACTATGACTATAGATTACGCAGATTGTAGCTTTCTGCCTTTAAAAATATCCTTCATCGCTAAGTATGAGGTGGAAATGTAGCAGTAAACTGCTGTTGCTCGGGATGTTCAAATTAGGTCTCTGATCAGGGCTGTGGAGAATTAATACCAGAGTAAGTGGGTATTCAAGTGAAGGCATCTTTTTTTTTCTGTGCTGTTAACCATAAAATAGTAATCAACATTAATTTCTAGGTTCTAGAAGATCACAAATAAAGATTCATAAAAAAAAGCAAAATCATTACCAGTCATTGTCAGTGCTCCTTAATTCTAGCTTATTAATCATATTTCAGTTTCATATACTATATTACTTAAGCTGTCAAACACATCACAGACATATATAAGGATGATTTGTCCTCATTTAGTAGATGAGGAAAAAGAGACACTAAGAGCTTCTGAAACTTGTCCAAGGTCTGGAAATGTGGAATTCTTTCTTCTTGTTACTTTTATTTAAATAGTCTGAATGTAGCCATAAAGGCCTAGTTATAATTGGTCAAATAAATCCCATTTTCACCTTTTTTGCTGAAGGGCTGATGCCATGGGTGGATGCAGCACAAAGAGTTAATGCAACAAATGTAATTATTGTGAATATTTGGTCACATGTGGAGCTGGTTTTGTTTTAGGTTTCTGAGGTTTGTTTTCTGCAGACGCTGCTGGGAATCATTTACCCATCACTTGAAGTGGTCCTTGAAGCTCCAGTCCATCACAGGACTGCCATGAGTGTGTTCCTGTTATGTTTAATATGCAAACTACCTAGTCCTTTTGCCATGATCCAGAAAAATGGCATCAATGCAAATATTAGTTACATTCCTTGTAAATTCACAAGTCAAGGAGAAACATGCCTGGCCTACACGATCCTCCATCCCCATCCTGATTATTGATTCCTAATGGAAAGATTTTGAAACACTAGAAAGAGACTGCTGTAGGAAGGACATAGGCATAAAATTTTTTGAACTCCTTGCTGATTTTTTTTTTCCTATATTATCCCTTCTACCAATCCTATGGCTTAGTCTGTTGATCAATTTAATCAGCTGCCTCCTTTAAACATTATGAAGAGATACTGGCAGTGAATTTCCACCTTGCACATTAGATTTTTGGCTGATTTACATTGGGGTCACCCTGTGCTAGTGCTGTAGGTGGCTAAAAGCCCTGGAGAAACCAACCGTGTGGACTGGGGCTGCCTGTGGAAAACATGAGTTCCCGGGTGTCTTGGATGCATTTGCCCACAGAAGGAGCCAGATGGTTTTCTCTGTGGGTTTTCTTTGGCTTTGCTCTGCGGGAGAAATACCTGAGATGGATGCTGCCAGGTAGCTCCTTGGCTCCCATGTGTTAACAGCTGCTCTAGCTCTTCTCTCAGAGGTATACTTAAAGCATAAAAATGAAAAAATGGGCAGAAATCTGTGTGGTGAAGTGGGGAATGGGGAAGACTTCATGTCTTGTTTATCTCCAGACCTGATGGGATGGGTCTGGTCCCAAGCTGGCATCCCGACTGGAGTGTGTTGGTGGTACCTGCCGGATGGTTCATAAGTGCTTTGAGATCAAAGGCACTTTCTACATGTTAATAGGTTTTCTTGTTTTAGCCTTTGGGCATGGCTCACTCAGGGGGCCGGGTGGCACGCAACCAGTCACCCATTGGGCGTCATGTGAAGTTGTGTGTAATATTGCAGATTTGACTCTGAAAGGCCCTGCTACAGTCAGCCACCCTCCCAAAACACTGTGACCTTTGGGAAGCTTAGGTCAGGTTCCGTATCACATTTTAAAATAACAGGTTGGTTGACTCATGCTGGAAATAAAGCTAACGATCCTCAAAACAAGGCTCGTCTCTGGGATATAATCTGGGCCAGAGAGAGGTGTGGACTATGTTTTTATCCTGGGCAATAAAAATGAATGCAGGGTAGCCTGCTCCTCAACCACACACACAACATTGGGGCAATTGACAGCAGCATTAGGCAAAGCTCCAGGTGTCTCAAGCAGGCTGGTCTTGGGCAGCCGTCCCCATCTCATGTGCTTGCTCTTGTGGTCTCGTTCCAGGGCAACCCTCTATACTTCCAGTCCGCCAGAAATGTGACAGTGAACATCCTCAATGAGAAGACTAAAGTCCTTAGTCGCCTTGTAACAGGTAAGGAGGGGGAAAGGCTGCGTGGCAGGATTGAGGAGGGATGAAAGCGGGTGTGTTGTGGGATGCTGCGTTGGCTTTAGACGGCACGCAGGAGGGGAGTCCAGATGTCTTGTGAAGTACAAATGAAAACTTTGCTCCACTTTGTAGAAACAAAGCTAGCAACATGAAAGCTGTGCTGGAGAGGCAGCTGGCTGGTGCTTTCTGATAACGAAGCAGACCGTCGTTGTCATTTGAAAGCCAATCCAGAGGCAAAAACGTTAGTTATACAACTTCAGGGTCAAGAAGAACATAAGCAGGATGACATCTCTGTTGTAACAGGCACAGGCTTTTCCTGAGACACTTCTAACTTGCTCGAGATCTTCGGAACTCGGCTGATTAACTGTGGCTGGGCTGGGACACTTTGCAATTTAGAGCTCTCTATGCCCTTCTGCTGATGAAGAATGCTCTCATGCTCTGAAGCAATAGTATGTTTGATGGGGAAACAGGTGTTTCATAAATCCCTGATGTACAGCAGCCTTTGAATGAATGCATGCGTAATTTGGGTTGAAAGAACTTAATGCATTATATATGCTAATATATTATATACATATATATGATATAGGATAGATATTTATTTATTGAGATTTATCTAGGGACTGGGAGAAGTATTGCTGTGTGGCAGAGCCAGTAATCCATAAACATGTTGTTTTTTGTGAGACTGGGTTGTTTGGTTTGCTTATATAACGTCTTGGCCTCTAGTCACAGTATTAAATAATTAAATATGCAGCTTCAGTAAGCAATGATTTAAGCAGCACGCATGAAAATTGCCTAGGGGGAGGAAATAAATTCAACCCCAAGCTCCCTGATTCTCACATTCAGAATGAATGTGTTTAGTTTGTTGGTTCTCCATATATTTTAAAGAGGGTATTGGGTTCACTTAAGCACCTCCATTTCACAAGAGCTTGGGAGGACACAGTCAGTGGCGTCTCCCAGTGTGATCTTCTGGTTGTTGAGCTTGTTTCTGCATTGAGCAGCAGCTTTGGTTTCAGAGCAGAGCAAAGATGTGGCCCCACATAGTGCAATGCTGCAGTGATGAGCAGGGAGGCAGTTAATTAGCAAGACACAAATCAAACTTAAAGCTCGAAACTACTGGATTTTCTCAGAATGGCTGCAAGATTTTTAAGTGTTTCCAGGGATCTCAGCATAGCCTCACTTTTCTGTAGTGTGAAACACAATTCTTTGTGTGCCCTGGTGCTGATACAGATGACCTGTGCAGGCAAACACTGGGTATAGGTGAATTTTGAACCTGCCTGTATGAAAATACTGCCTTGTGCATTCCGGGGAGGCTGTGGCTTGTACTGGGTTGCACAGGGCTGTTAGATGCTGATTTGTCCAAAGTTTAGCCTTGGTCATGTAAGCCAGGGGTCTGCTCTTCACAGCCTTTGAGCCCCAGACCTGCACTGGATTGCTATTCAGGCAGCTGATGTTTATCAGGCTCCACAACAAAACGTGTTGCCAAAGGGCTTTCCAGCGCTGTGGTGCACAGCAGCCTGCAGGAGAAGCAGCAGAATTGAAATAAGGGCTACAAAGGAAAGTTTTACTCATCTAAAAACCATGGGAGACCCTGACGTTCATCTCAGCCTGCACAAGGTCGAAATGGTCTAAAAGAAAGCATTTGTTCCTGTGGTGATATTTGTCTTTTTTCTTTTTTCTTTTTTCTTTTTTTTTTTTTTAAATTGGGCCACTGTGTGACACTGGTCTCATTTTAATCCAGGTCTATTTAATAGGCAGAAAACCAGGAATCTTTTACACCAAGCATCGGTCCAAGCAAAATGTACTTGGGAATTCTTGATGCCCCACAGCATGGCTGGGTGTATGTGTTGCTACTTCACACTCCAGTCCATCTTTTTGTAAATATTTCTCTGCTGTCCCAACTTTAATGGTGATTTTATGACACACATAAGCATTAGCAAAAACATAAGTAGAAATAGTTGAGAGGCTGTTATCTGGGTAGAAAACAGTGCCCTTTTCTAACGAGAGGTCACTGTCTGAAAAGCACAGACCTCCCTGTTTCATGTGTTGGACGCAGGTTGTATCTGCAGAGCTATTAGGGCACTCTCAGCAGATGGGTTTATTAAATGTATGTCATTTTCTTATACTTTTCACTAAAAGGTTGTGCTAAATCTCTTCTTCTCTCTAGGTCCCCAAGCAGTGGAAGCACACAGCCAAAAATTTGAGGTGAAAACCCTCTCTGGAAAATTGCTGTTTTCTGCAGATGACAACGAAGTGGTGGTTGGAGCAGAGAGATTGAGAGTTTTAGGTAAAAAATTATTCACTAAATCACTGTTTTAATATGCGCCTCTTCAAATTTTAGAATAGTTTTGCCTGACTTTCCTTCATGCTTGTGGAAAGTTTCTTTTGGAGATAAAGCCCTTCACTGTCTTTACTGCTTTGAATCCTCCCCAAGTGGATAATGGCCAGGAGTTTCTATCTGAGGTGTTTCTTAGCTTGCACATTGTGTTATTTGCCCTCCAGAAGAAACTGCCCTGGAAGTGGTTTGTCTGGCTCTAAAGTAGCCTTAAAACCAGCTCTGGAAACTGAACAATTTTATCTCTTGGGTCTGGGATGAAGGACAGTGAGGGATCACTGTAAGGGTGCTGACATGGCTGCAGTTACTCTGCATCAGGAAACCTCAGGCTTCATGGTTTTGATTGGAGCAGTCTCACCAGCTCCTCCTTTATTCTAAAGCAAACACCAAGGAGGAGACCTGCAGTGAAAAAGTCAACATGAATTAGGACTTCCATGTCAGTTCTCTGAAGAGCTGGGTGGCCTTTATATTAGCTCTCTTTCCTTAGCCACATGCAAGAGCATACTGTGCATCTCTGAGCCACCTTCAGCCGTGTTGTGGGAAGGGTTAATTGTCCTGTGCACGGGAGGAGAGGCCAACCTTGCCAGTGCCACCACTTCCCTATGTGCCTTTGGAGACAGAGAGGGCAGCTTGAGCTCTCCTTTTGCCCCTGGAGGATCTGCCTCCCCAGCTGTCCTGCCTGCTGGGCTTTACATTGGTGGTGCCTATTGAAAACTGGGGATACGCTTTGAGTTTGGGGATGGGGGGTGGTTGTATTGTTTGTTTGGATTTTTATTTTTTTTTTTAGAGATAACAAACAGTTATGGTAATTGTAAAATTTTAAAGTTTATTTGATAGTTGTGTGAAATTACCTCCTAGGAACTTCAGTTCTCTAGCTTTCTAGTTCACATGCTCTTTGGTTAGTCTAAGATTTGCTTGTGATTATTTTCATGTAGGACCAGACTGGGCAGCTCAACGTTGCTAGCAGTTAGTCACGTAGCAGTGCCACTGGTCTCTGTGGATGTACCAATACTTGTTTCCCAATGACTTGGTTTGGAGACATCTGTTCCCTCCAAATTTTTCCTTAAGTCTCTAGTAACCTCCTAAAAACAGCGATATCAATGAAGGAGCTGAGAATGATATATAGTATTGTTCTTTATTACTATTTCTACATATTACATAGTGTATTATTAGTATATTATATATAATTTAAAGGAGCTTAAAATGAGTGCCTCAGAGTCTAACCATCATGAATGGGACTTTGTATCCAACCCTTAGCATTTTTCATTAGCTTATGGCATGCTGCTCTAGATGGTTCCTGTTTGTGGACAGGCCAGCTGTAGCTCTTCTCAGGTCACTGTTGGTACATACTGGACTAGTTCAGTCACCTGCCATACAAAGTTGTTAGGTGAGTTTTACAGGATAAATGTTGAACTTCACAAAATTAACTGTGTCTTTTTGAACTTAAAACTTCGAGAAGGACCATTCAAAATTCTTGCAGTGTGTCAGAGCTGGAGAGCATTTCTCACAATCCATGTTCTACCACAGATCTCCCTTCACACTGCACCCTTCAGAGCTACTTAATGGTACAGTCTTTGTGCAGGGAAGATGACATCAGGAAGCAAGAGTTTTTAAGTGTTTTCTTGGAGACCATAAAGTGAGAGAGATTTATATGATTGAGTCTTCAAAAAAAATACAGAAACTTTTCCTTACAAGTTGCAAGTACTCCTTTCAGATTATATACTTACAAAAATATTGTTTTTTACTAACTTTGTACTTTGAAGAAGCCAGCAATTATTTTTGATAGTTATTTTGAGTGTCTGCCTTCTTTTAGTCTCCAGAATAAACAGCATCAAATATATTTCTAACCACTGTAGTGCACTTTCATTTTTATCTGCAACAGAGTGTTTCTTGGCGTTTATTTGGCTTATGCAGATCTATCAGAAAAGAAAAGGTAGAATGATACCACTGGTGATGTTACATGGCAAAGTATTTCAATGACCTTGAGCTGAAATGCTTTCACAGTTCATGCTTGGCTTTGTTTTTCTCCAGCTTTGCTTCCCCAATCTAATTTTATCTCCAAAAGTGTTTGCCATGGCTGTTTGCCACGCTGGGAAGTGTTATACCATATGTTCGTATTTCTTCCAGTGTTTTTGTCTGCACTTGAGGCTAGTCCAACTTGTAGTACACAGACAAATTCCTTTGATCATTTTTCTGGTGTTTGGAATCTCAGGTGCTGTCAGTATGTGTCTGCTGACACCTATCTACACTATGTAAATAATCTCAACTTGTTCTTGTTATTGCTGAACACGTACTTGTTATAGAAGGAAGTGGATGTCTGCAATCTGGCATGAAAGTCATCCCACAGAGGTTAGAGCAGCAGTTACTGGGCTTGTGGCTAGCTTTTAATCTTGTTAATGATAATTACTTTTTTTCTTTGTACGCTCTTCAAAGTTGATTCTGAAAGTTTGTTCTACAAAGTAATGCTGAAGCCTTGTCATGGGAAACGAGGTGCTTTCCTTTTTAGAAATGGACTCTGCTCTGTCTAAAGGATTTTTCAACATTAGCAAGGCATTATAAAGGGAGGAATACACAGAATTATGGTTAAAAAAATACAAGTAGGACATGTGCTGCATTTGATGGTACTTCAAAAAATTGCACAGCATGGGTAGTGCAGATTACCAAATGAAAGAGCTTTTTATTTTAATTGTATTTTGGGGGGTTATTTCTGATATTTAACCATTAAGGGCACAGAAAGAGAGAGTTGGTCCCCTCTGCTTCTCGTGCATGATGTAGAGGACTTCAGTGGTTTTATTTGCTTTAGTGAATCCAGTCAAACCTGTTGTCACGGGAGAGATTGGAGGATAAAGGGAACTCCTGTCTGAGGACAAGGGCAACCCTTTGGCCATGGTCAGCTCTGGTAACAACCTTTTCCAGACCCAAGCCTGAGTTCCCTCCACCTTGCTCAGATCCCCCCCAGGAGCTGCATGGGTCCAGATGACTCAGAAGAAGCTGATGTCTGTTTACTATAGTCATGTAGGAACTGATCCTTATGCCAAATCTGGTCTGCCCTTTGTCTTCCAAGCTCATTTACCAGTGCCTGCAATTGCCCAGCCATCTCCTCCACTCTTGAGGAGGCACGTCCTCACTTTCTTTTGAAAGCTTCAGTCCTGCAGTATTTTGAGTGCCTCATGGTCTTTTGAAAGGTACTACAACAAACCTCGGAGCCGTTCTCATTCCCCAAAAACACGGCTCTCTTGAGTTTTCCATGGCTTAGATTTTTTAAGGCAAAAGCTGCCACTTCTCTTCCCAGGAAACGGCACCACATTTCTGCTCCTGGGGTTGTGCGTGGCATAAAGTGCAAACTTCCCCTGTGCTGGCCGTAGCCACGCTCAGCACTGGACTTTGGCAAACACCACGTAGACACAAGCTCACACCTCTCTGGATGTCCCCCGTGGGCTCATAAACACATACGGTCTGCATTATGGGAGACGAATGAGCTGGTGCTAATTGAATTCGTCTGCGGTACATCATACAGCGGTTCCCCTTCCCCCCTCTTTCCTCCCTCCCCCCACAAATGAAGTGTGTTCAGACGGCCTGAAAAATGGTGGGGAAGACATACTCTTGAGTTAAAAGAGCATTAAAAAATAACTTTGATATATATTAATTACCAATTTCATTTAATAGCATATTGAATATTATAGCATTTATAAACAAAAGACAATCATAAAGCATTATTCTGATGGTTAATTAGCTCTATTTATTCTCCGGATTAGTTTTTAAATATGCCCTCTAGATGCCACTTGATACTAATTAACAAAGTTACGTTATTATCTTTATACAAAAGCATTTTTAATTAAATCTAAAGCAATTTAAATTAGCATAAGTTTTTACAGAAATTAAACTCTGGTCAGATGCTTAATTTAGCTTTATAAGACAACATCTGATGACATGCCAGTGTCAGTTCTCCCAAGGGCCTTGACATCTTTTTTGGAAATTATTTTTTTTGAAGTTTGTTTTCAGGGAAACTTGCCAGTATACTCTGCTGTTTAATATTTATGATGGATTTAACCATTATTTTTTTTAAGACTAAATATTGATGGGAATCCACATGCATTGCAGTGAGCTGAGATAAAAGCGTGAAAGACACGTTCCTGCAGCTTACAGGCTTTTGCAGTCCCTGGTTTTGAGCAGTGGAGGAAGCTTTGTGTGGGAGGTAGGATTGCATGGGCTGGATGCTGTCCCGTTACAAATCAACCACGTTTCTTAACCACTCTTAAGATTACCATTTTGCTTTTCAACAAGGATAGGATTATTCAAAAAACCGCAAGGTCCCTTTGCTGTAAGAGAAGAACACAAGGGTTGCTCCCAGATTGCGCCCACTCCGGGTCCCTGGAAAATGTGTCTCTCACTGACGTTTATACTGCCATAGCATAAGCTTTTCTTCTAATATGGCCTAGTGATAAAAATTCAGCTAAAGCCTTTCCCTGTGGCACACCCTAACTAAAATAGCTGTATTTAGAGTAGGGTAGGGTGGCTTTCCTCTCCTTTTAGCTCCTGTAGGAGCTTCTCTGCAGGAGATGTAGGACCCACCCACCACCACAGCAGTCCTCCCCACCATCATGGTGGGCCATAACATAACCTCTTCCATCCCCTCCCTTAAAATAATTACCCAATAGCTCTATTAGCCTTGTGGCTTTTTTCCACTGTAGCATAATCCCTCTGGGCTTTGAACTGTGTGGAACACACAAACACTGGCCAAGGTTAGACTTTCAGAAATGTTCATTTGGGAGCGGTTTTTGTCCTAGTTTCTCTCCAGGTGCATGGGAATGCACCTGAAAGAGGCATCAGCTGTTGTAGTGTTATTGCAAATTCATTAATAAGTTTGGAGTAATTAATTCCAAGGCATGTTTCTAGCATCTTATTTACAAGAGGCACATACTAAGGACTTTAGAGGTTTTAGTGGAGGAACG